CTTTCATTCTTCCAGTTGATTTTTTGGCTGGGCGCCCCTTTCTAAATTCGTTCACTTCTGGCTCGTGAATGTTGTCCTCCGCCGGGTGGAGACCGCGAAACACGTTCTTTGCTGCTTTTTTAGTTGCCTCTGGTCCTCTGCGTACAGCCTCATCAACCAACTCCCGAAGGTGAGATCTAGCCTCCTCCTCCTGGGGAACGTACTCCTGAGCATTGGGTGGATGCTCATATGACAGTGTCCGCCAATATATATGAATATCACCGGGATATATCTCTATGTCTCGCGCTCTGCCATCCATAACTTGACATCCACACCTCAAGCCGTGTGTCACAGAGAAATGACATGCACATCGGGAGTTCTCATTTTTTTCCAAGCGGGCACCCAATTCTTCTTCAGCCTCCTTCATTAATATAATTGCCTGCATGCTGACCTTCCTTCTCAAGAATGTGAATGGTGTACCACCGGATGCTGAAAGGGTTTTCTGTCTAGAGTTTTCCAACATCATCCTAACCTCCCCGAGTTGGTTAGTAATGTAGCGGTGGTTTCCTTTCCATACAGTGTCCATAGATCCCCGCGAGTTGTGGAGGAAAGTCTTCAAAGCGGAATGTGACGACTCAACCCTGTTTGTGCTCGTATTTCCTAGATGAAACACATTTTTTGTATGACAAACAGCCCACTTTTCTCGATGTTGCCACCACACTCCCTGTATGTATTGCAACAGACGTGGTTCTTGATTGCCCCATCTTGTCCTAAAGCGGCCAAACGCGGCCAACATACCTTGCTCTGACCAAGAATAAAGCATAGGACACCAATATTGGTCGTACGCCTCGTTGACCAAATCCATCCTGTTCTTCCCAAATATTTCCAAGCACTTCTTCTGCACGTTGGTGTTGATGTGCCAAACACATAGCAAATGCGGGGTGCGGGGGAAGACCACAGGAACCGTAGCAAGTAGTCCACCTTCGTGGTCGGTGACGATGACAGAGGGCACGCGAGGATGGAGCAATTGTTGTATGCACTGCAACAGCCACAAATACGACTCTTTTGTCTCATCCTTCATGAGAGCACAACAGATGTTGAAATTCTTCCCAACTGGAGTTGCACCTACGACCTCCACCCACGGCCATTTATATGCATTGGTCTTATACGTTGAGTCGATCAGAATCACGTACGGCCAAGCCTTCAACATCTGGATGGAAGTTGGATGGGCAAAGAAAAGATGTGTCAGCACGTCGTCATCGTCCTTCATAACCTCTGTATGATAATTCTCACGTTCAGCTTGTAGCAACGCATACTGCACTGCATTCATCTCGCCCATCTCTTCTTTCCTAGACTTGGACCCGAGGTTATACATCTGCCTTTGGTTGTGATGCCCTTTGTCACCCTTCTGCTTGTTTATTGTCTGCTTCTGTTGCGACGGAGGTACCCCAGCATCTCTCATCTGCTTAAGAGATTCTTTATCCTCCTGACTCAATTTATTCATTTGACTGTGGCCCTCGGGATAAAGCATTTTCTCATGACTGTGATACCCTCGCCTTAAACCGGTTCCTTGCTCCGCGACTCCTTGTATCTCCCAGAATGTAGGTCCATCAAGAGCATCTGGATTAACCAGTAGTTCTTTGATTTTAATCTTGAACATGCATCCCGCTCCTTTTGAACTTGTATTGCCACGACTCTCTTTGGAAGGATCCGGCTTGTATGACTTCCTCTCCCTACTGCATCTGTCGCAATACATATAACAGATACCCAATGATCTTTCGTTGCCCAAATCACGTGGCTTCATCGATCCCTTAGTTAGAAAGAAACCAAGAGACATCGCGATGTTTTTGGTCACTGTTACAGCATCTTCGAAATTGGCATATCGAACGCCATTGAGAAAATGGTCTGTGTAATCACCAATTAGTTCAACATTGTCAGCCATGTCCACCTGCAATTATGATTTTGACTCTCGTTAGAAATGTACAAATTATATGATTCTACAAAATTAAACTAAATGCAATAATTTAATTAAGTCTAAAAAATACAGATAATTTAAATATAAATTATTAAACCAAATTAGCTCTACGATTTAAATCTAAACACAATAAAACTAATTTGCGCTACAACAAAACACAATCACTTAATTAAACTAATTGTGCTTTAATTGACTCTACAAAATTAAACTAAATGCAATAATTTAATTAACTCTAAAAAATAATGATAATTTGACGATAAGAAAATTATTTTAATATAAATTATTAAACATCTTTAGCTCTACGAATTATATCTAAACACAATAAACTAATTAGCGCTACAACAAAACACAATCGCTTAATTAAACTAATTGTGCTTCAATTGACTCTACAAAATTAAACTACATGCAATAATTTAATTAACTCTACAAAATAACGATAATTTGACAGTAAGAAACTAATTAGCGCTACAACAAAATACGATTCGCTTAATTCAAACTACAAAGGAATGTAACTATGTAAAATAGAAATAAAAGCAATAAATTATAAATTATTAGCTCTAGAAATAAAATAGAAAAAAATACAACACTGATATGCAACCGGTCGTCGCTCGCCGGCGTCGGACCCCGTCCGCTCGCCGGAGTCGGACCCCGTCCGCTCGCCGGCGTCGGACCCCGTCCGCTCGCCGGCGTCGGACCCCGTCCGCTCGCCGGCGTCGGACCCCGTCCGCTCGCCGGCTTCGGACGGCGTCCGACGACGGCGAGCGGACGGGGTCCGACGCCGGCGAGCGGACGGGGTCCGCCTCCGGCTAGCGGACGGGGTCCGACGCCGGCGAGCGGACCGAACAAAAAATTCAGGATCAGCAAGAGGTTTACCTGCTTCGCTGGTCCGACGACGGGTACGGCTGCCGTCCAGTGCCCGGCGAATTATCCTGACGAGATTGGTCCGGTGGCCGGCGAGTTTGGCTGCCGTCCGGTGGCTGTGGTGTTTGTGGGGGGTTGGTGGTCGGGACTCGGGTAGTGTGTAAGTTGTTTAAAAAAACCATTCAGCGAATAGAATATAAAGAAATATTTGGAGGGCAAAATTGTCCTTTTAGTGTTTTTTACGGGCGGCAAATAGTAATTGCCCGGGCGGCAAATAGTAACCCTCTTACTAATTCGTAGTAATCACCATAATCCCTCCCCAGTTTTTTACTATTAACCATGAATCTTTCCCATGTTTTGTCAATGTAAAATTTACCTAAAATGTTAAAATTAATAAAAAATTTCATCAACGTCAGACTTAAAAAAATCTTTTGGGGCCTCTCAAACCCAATTACAACCATCAAAGTAAGCAAAGAAAAGACACTACTCTTTACAATCAATCTACGAGGGTGGAAATTGGGCGAGTATTGGTGCGATTTTGTTGTGGATATCCAATTTTTTATTATTATTGAATATGGTAATTAATATTGATGTTATGTTTCTTCTCACACAAAAACATATAAAAAAGAAAGTTATTAAAGTGTTAACTAAACTGTAAATCAATTATCCCCTAATGAATCGATTACTCTAGCCGACTTATTATTGACTTGTTATTGTTTTATAAAATAAAAATATTTCATATGGACACATCTTATTTGATAAAAGTATCACACACACAGACTTGGTTTTGTTTTATAAAATAAGTGTGTGCAGTGTGTTTGATTTTGGGGGTTACTTTAAGTTTTAGCATTCCACATTTCACATACCATGATATAATAAACCATTATTAACAAATAAATATAATTAGTGAGGTTATTGTTGTTTACCAGGTGTGATAGTGGTTAATCACTAACCACAAAATATCAATATTTTGCTAACCACACCCAACTCACTATCCACAAACTACACACAAAATATACGATTTGATGCGATTTCCGAATTACCCGCAACCCCAAACCAAACTTCGACCCCAATCATCAATGATGAAGCCTAAGCCAGCCTTCAGACCTGTATACAACTTCAGCCTTCCAGCAAACTATTCTCTTAATTTTCATGCAATATCTTGTCCCCATATGATCGAGAACTACGTTAAGGCCAAAGCAGGCTAATCTCCACACTCCAAACAACTCTATAAACCTTACTCATATCTGATCTGTTACCCCACCTTTCTATACACCATTACAGCAGATCATCCCAACTCCAACTACCCGCGACGGATCAAGAACAGAGTAAAGCACTAGGCCACGACACTAATCTAAATAATGTTTTTCGAAAATTAACCAGTATGACGACACCTACCGTTCGTTCTTAGCTGGCATTCATTTTCCACAAGTATACATGCCAAAAAATCCCCACAACGACATGGAAGTTGATTGTGATGACTCAAAGTTGACTGACCCATTCAAAGTCTTCCCTCTTTGGCTGGTTCTTTTATGTGGCTTCAGGTTCAGGGGACTCTCTGCCCCGCCATCCACTGCCCACCTTGTAATGTAACTTGTAACCCACGGTAGGTTTTTGGAGCTGGTTTCCATTCTTGTCATCTTCCCCACTCCACCATGCAATAACTTACTACTAGCCATAGCTTAAAGATAACCTCTTACATGGCTGCTGAGATCTAATAACCTCTTACATGGCTGCTGAGATCTAATTGGCTTATACGATTTCAAGCAATAACCTCCACACATGCATCAAGTTTTTATTTTTTTCCACATTCAATTTGTTGTGTGACTTGAATCGAACTATCAGCCGCTATGACTGGAAGTCATGAGGGTGTCATCTTCTCTGTAATCTGTAATCTCCTCGATATAGTGAAATCGGCTCTCTCTCGCCCGTGGACTAGCAAACACGCATCGTGTTAGTGAACCACGTAAATCGTTTGTCGTATTTTCGATTCTCGCTTTCATATTCTTGCTTTCTCGATTCCGGCGATTTTCCGATCTGTAGCTGCACAGTAATAACACAATCCTCACTTGCAAGCAAATGTGTATAAATACAGGGGAGTACTCTCTGGATCCAAGTCATATACAATTCACCCACTAGCTATTCTACAAGTAAAATTCCAAACATGATTCCTTTCCTAGTTATCATGCTGTTAATCCAACACTGCCTCTTCCTCCTTTCCACTGCTGCTGCTGCGCTAGCTGCTGCTAGTGGTAGTTATTACAGTAACGATGAACGTGATGCAGCAGCTCTCCTCCAACTGAAAACCCACATCATCTCCGCCACTTCTTCTTCCGATCATCCTCTCTCCCGCAACTGGACCGCCGCGGCGACAGCCCAAGTCTGTAGCAGCTGGGTCGGCGTCTCCTGTGGACATCGCCACAGGAGAGTGACATCATTGAATCTGGCGAACATGGGGCTGCAGGGGACTCTGCCTCCCCACATTGGTAATCTCTCCTTCTTGGTTTCTCTTGATCTCAGCGGCAATCTCTTCCGTGGGGATTTGCCGATGGAGCTGTCTAAGTTGCGGAGGTTGAAGATCATCAACCTTTCTGATAACCAGTTTGGAGGTAGCATCAGTGGCGGATCCAGGAATTTTACGTAGGGGTGTCCTCTATAAAAAATTATATTAAATATTAAAATTAAATTAAATAATTATTAAATATGAAAATATCTAACTAATAAAGTTTCATTAAAAGTTCAGACGTGTTTCATCAAATGATAAAATGCATTCGGTGTTTATACGCTCAACAAATATCTCTCGACATATCTTACTAGACTAGGATATCCCATAATTGAGTTTAATCGTTAGGTTTTGAAAATAATTTGAGATAAGAATAATATTTTACTATTATATTTGGATCTAAAACACAATAACAAATGAGTTGTAGCGTGATTGAAAATATATTAACTAATAGTGGCAGTGTTCCAAATTTAAAATCACATAAACTACTACTTAAATATTATTTATACCAATACTCAAACTACTACGGGAGATTGGATAATCATTTTCCCAAATTTTAAAGGTGTCCCACTATCATTTAAATATTTTTTTTCTCATACGCAAATTACTATCGTAGGTTGAATAATCGTGTTTCCAAATTTTAGGAGTGTCCCGGGACACCCCTAACCATGCATGTATCCGCCACTGGGTAGCATCCCACCGTCGCTTGGGGATCTTAGGGGTTTAAAGGTGCTGGATTTGGAGGGAAACCTGCTTTCAGGTGCCATACCAACTTCAATTTTCAACATTTCTTCTCTGGAGAGACTGATATTGGCGAGTAATAGTCTATCCGGAAGCCTTCCGGATGATATCTGCAGTCAGTTTCGGAACATCGAGGTGCTGAATGTGTCTGTCAATAATCTAGGAGGTCGAATTCCATCTTTATTGGGGGGTTGTGGCAATCTTCAGAACTTATCGTTTGGAACTAATTGGTTTACGGGACCCATCCCGAAGAGTATTGGGAATTTAACTGCATTGAAGGCTCTATCTTTCTCGTTCACAAATTTAACAGGTAGTACCATCACAATTTGGTTGGTGTATTTACGAAGTGGGGGAAAACAACTTACGATTATATAAATATAACATCAAGTGGTTTTGTGTTGCAGGGGATATACCAGTTGAGATAGGCAACCTTAAAAGGTTACAGAAATTAAAGTTGTGGCATATTGGTCTTTCTGGAGTCATTCCACCTGTTATATTCAATATTTCTACTCTTCGAATGGTGGTTCTTTCAGAGAATAGGTTGTTAGGAATTCTGCCACATAATTTGTGTTATCATGCGCGGGGCCTTGAAGAATTATATTTGCATGAGAATCAATTACACGGTGGAATTCCTGCGAGAATTGGAAATTGTACAAATCTTCAGATTGCATCATTATCTTATAACCCATTTTCTGGAAGTATTCCAGTCACCATTGGGAATTGCAGCGTTCTCCGGGAATTATATTTGGCTGACAATTATTTGACAGGTAATTCTATTTTTTTCTTCTTTTGACTGCACATTTTCTTTCCTTTTGCTTTGGTTTCTTTATTTTGATTTTGAGATTGCATAATATTTGTTATATTCGTGATGTGGATTTCATATATTGATAGCATATTTATCAAATCAGTTCTCCACCGATAAGTCCCTAATATTGCACATTTGATTATTTCATGTAGCTATAGTATAAATGGAACAACGAAGTGACACAAAGCATCACGGAAATTGTGAAAACACAAACCCTGAATTCTTTTCCATCCAAAAAGTTAATCACCTTAATTATAAGTGAAAAACTTGACATGTTTCAAACGGGTTAATTGCAAGGATGGTCACTGGGTTTACTAAAACCGTTCATGTTTGGTCACTGAAAATATTTAATTCCATTTATGATCACTAAGATTAGTTCAATAGTTCAAGTTTGGTCACTCTCCGTTAGTTTTTGCTGATGAAAACTATAAAAAGTTTAAGTACTAAAGTATTATTATTGAAAATATGCACTTTGACTAACTTTCTTCTTAGAAAATATGGAAGAAGAATATTGATCTTATATATGTCACCGGTGGCAAATCCATTGTTGACTTCACCACGATGCAGTGAAACGGTTATGAAAAGTTAGTTTCCAAAATATAATTTTAGAATACGAAACACATTTTACATTATAAATCCATTGGATTTGAATTACGTTATTGGTGTTAGTTGAACTTTTATGAATATATATTGTTTTTATTTACAGCTTCTTAGCATTCATGGACAAAGCTAAGCCTATTTTCACCATGGTCGTTCTTTTCATTCCTACTTTTGTCTAGGTATCTATAGTTTTCTCCATACCACATTGCGCCTAAATAGTATTGTACCAATTACAAAAAACTATTACAAGCCACAATTAATTACAAAACTATTACCAGCCACAACATAAACATATTAATTTGATCTTAGATAATGGTTCAATAAACCTGATTGTGACAAGTCGATTGATATGTTGCAGGTGAAATTCCTTTGGAGTTGGGTTATCTAAATGCTCTTCAAAAGTTGGGCCTTGGTCGAAATAGATTAAGTGGCTTAATTCCATGGACGATCTTCAACATCTCATCCATGTTGGTAATGAATTTTTATGATAATGAATTATCAGGAAATCTCCCTCCAACATTTGGCTCGCACCTTCCAAATTTGGAGTGGCTTAGTTTTGCAGGCAATAACCTCAATGGAAGCATCCCACCGTCCATCTCCAATGCTTCTAATCTTGAACTTTTGGAACTTTCAATAAATTCATTCTCCGGCTGTGTTCCCAATACATTTGGCAATCTTCAGATGCTCCAAAGCCTTTACATTTGGGGTAATAGTAATCTAGTGGTAGATCCATCTTTCCTCACTTCTTTAACATCATGCAAGAGTTTGAAAATCTTGGAGATCTCGGATACTTCATTTGAGGGTGCATTACCACCTTCCATGGGGAATCTCTCCTCGTCTTTTCAGTATTTTCTTGGATCTAACTGCAAGATACAAGGCAATATTCCAGGTGAAATAGGAAACTTGAGTAACATCTTCGCAATCGAACTTTTATCCAATCGATTGACGGGGTCCATTCCATGGGAAATACATAAACTGAAGAAGCTTCAATCCTTGGGCCTTCATCAGAATGAGTTAAATGGAGTCATTCCGAATCAACTATGTGAGTTACCATCATTGTTTAGTTTAAATTTGGACGGCAACAATTTCTCTGGACAAATCCCAGAATGCTTCCCCAATGTGACTTCCTTAAGAGAATTCTACTTGGGATTCAATATGTTAAGCTCTATGATACCTTCATCATTTTGGGATCTCACCTACTTGTTGCAATTCAGTCTAGCCAGAAACAATCTGATCGGTTCTATATCTCCACGACTTGGAAACTTCAAAGACTTGATCTCTATGGATTTATCAGGAAATCAGTTATCAGGCGACATTCCAGCAAGTATCGGAGGCCTTACAAACATACAAAATCTGTCTCTTGCACTGAATAATTTCCAAGGTCCGATTCCTGAAGCCATTGGGAACTTGGTCAGCCTCTAGTTCTTGGATTTGTCAGCTAATAATCTCACTGGTATCATCCCCAAAACCATGGAGTCGTTGAGGTATCTGAAACAACTCAATGTCTCTCAAAATGGGTTATGGGGAGAAATTCCAAATGGTGGGCCTTTTGCAAATATGTCTTCCGAATTATTCTTGTTGAATCCTGACCTGTGTGGCTTACCCAAATTTGGAGTGCAACAATGCACACAAGGACACAACAAGCACTTTGACAAGTTACTAATTGCAGTTGTGGTATCGATCGTCTTGTCACTAGCAATTGTTGCTTTCACTTTGACAGTAACGATACGCCGCCGAAAAAAGAGCTCGGAAGAGAGGAACAAGGTGAAGGAAGAATTATTGGCTTCACTAACATGGAGAAGGATTTCCTTGCTCGAGCTTCAACGAGCTACTAATGGATTTGACGACTGTAACTTATTGGGAAAGGGAAGCTTTGGTCGTGTGTACAAAGGTGTTCTAGCTGATGACACTAATGTAGCGATAAAGGTGTTTAGTGAATTGGAAGGAGAAGCTGATGATGATGATGACGACATATTTGGTAATGATACTGAATGTGAAGTTTTACGAAATCTCCGACACAGAAATCTCATTAAAATTATCAGCACTTGTTACACGACTGGTTTCAAAGCATTGGTATTGGAGTTCATGCCTAACGGGAGCTTGCATAAGTGGCTATATTCGCACAACTACTTTCTCGACATTTTTAAGAGGCTGGACATTTTGATCGATGTTGCATCGGCTCTTGAATATCTCCATCAAGGTTATTCCATTCCAGTTGTTCATTGTGATTTGAAGCCAAGTAATGTGTTGTTGGATGGAGATCTCGTTGCTCATATAGCCGATTTCGGCATTTCCAAGTTCCTTGGAAGCGGGGATTCCATGACACGAACATTGACCCTTGCTACAATTGGATACATGGCACCAGGTACCATATTACATGTTAAGAATTTTGCCCTTATATTGTAACCACAAAGGATTATTGATTTCACATGCAAGCTGTTTAATGCACTGCAGAGTTTGGCATGGACGGAATAGTGTCGACAAAGAGCGATGTGTACAGTTTTGGAATTCTTGTGATGGAAGTGTTCACTAGAAGAAACCCGACAGAAGAATCATTTCAAGAGGGAATGAGCATGAAGCAATGGGTTACGACATTAGTGCCCGAGGGAGTCACGAAGTATGCTGATGCAAATCTACTGAATTGCAACAGTAACAGGGATTTTAAGTCTAGAGAAAGTTGCATATCTTCAATTATGAAACTGGCGTTAGAATGTTGTGCTGATACACCAAGGGATAGGTTGGCCATCAATGACGTACTTGCCAATCTCAGAAAGATTAAGTCACAATTGCAACAAGATCTTTGTCGTCGAGCATGAAGACTATACAGGAATAAATGTAGGGATTGTTTTAGCATTCGGGTGATTTATTGAATACATTCTAAGCTTTGTTTGTGGCTAATCACATGTTTCAACTTTCAGTTGTCACTCAAATCCTCAAACACATCTACTTATGCTGCAGGTAATACTGCTTCTAATTAAAGTGGAAAGTTTGCTACATTTGTGCTCCATTCTGGAGTGTAAATAATTCAGCATTGTGATTTTCAAAATGATTCAATTGCATTGTGGTAAAACTATTCATCCCTCTTTATTCACGACATGATTTCCTTCCTAAGTTTGTGTATGTGATTCTACTGATTTGAACTTAGTCCAACTGCCGTTGTGCTGGCAAATGCTGTTGGCTCTGGGAAAAGGGATTCTCTCGTTCTTCAGCTGGCTATGCATGCTTTTTGTGTTGATTTAAGCTGGATGTGCTCCCTGTATGGATTTTAAAAAAAAACTCCTTTGGTCTTACTTCAGCTTCTCAACTACACAATGTTTGAAATGCCTGACCAAATTGAGTCTGCAATATCAATCTTTGTGAACCTTGTGGGAAACTGAACTTAACAAATTGTTGATAGTCCAAATATATATTGGTAAAACCGTAATAAGATGCGATATAAGTATAACCGTGTCAGTTTGGTCTTTGGTATGCAGTTTAACCGGTATGACAGAGTACTGTGGGATCAGATTATATGATTTAATGCATGGTGTTGCGGACCATGAGCAAATCTAGAATATTAGAGTGGCCAATGGATCTTGCGACGATCAAGGAAAAGGTGAGGAAGATGGAGTACAAGAACAGAGAGGAGTTCAGACGCGGCGTGTGGCAGATCGCTTTCAATGCCCACAAATGCAATGACGGGCGAAACCCTAGCATCCCAACTCTAGCTGATCAGCTTCTATAACTCTGCTACTTCTTGTTAGGACAGAGTGCGAGCGAGTTAGCTGAAGCTGAAGCTGGGGTGGGAATGTAGAACAGTATGATGCAGGAGGCAGAGGAAAGTTCTTGCTTCATAACAAGAAATTCTTTTAATAATTGGCCATTGTTAACGTTCCATCCAAGTGCGTTGCATAAGCGTTGAAAAAGTTGCATCGTTAATTCGATCCCGAAATCTAGTGACATTTTGATACTAAGGGTACACAACAGGAAGAAAGAAAAAAAACTAGTTTCCGCTTTCAGTTGGATGAATAATACTAGAAACAATAATGAAATCCAGTTGATAATAGAAGCCTCTATGGCTACACATCAACCAAGCTGAATGATGCGAACAGAAACTTTTAATCTGCAAAATTTCTTCCAGCTGCTAACTAACATCATCAGAAACTCCTCCATTCCAAAATCTACGGCCAAAATGGTACTACTCACTCTCTCTCTCTCTCTCTCTCTCTCTCTCTCTCTCTCTCTCTCTCTCTCTCTCTCTCTCTCTCTCTCTCTCTCTCTCTGTACTTACAACAGCACTTGCTATGCATAGCAAGTAGCAAGTGCCATCTGGTTACATCATCTAACTTATGGCTACGTTCTAGAAAATCCTATTTCACTTGGACAAATTTTAACCGGCAGCCTCAACAATGGTAGCATTAAACCGAAAATGATCGAAGGTGTGTATATAGTGAAACCTGTTTTAGGGATAGGTGTGTCCAATTCAAATGATCGATACCCATACCCCCATCCCAAGATGATATGTTTCAGAAGACGAGGACGCCCCGTGATCTTTTCGTTAGTTAATCTTAGGCTTGGCCCGTCCTGGCTTCAACACGGCATACAGAAGACCAGCAACAATAAGGAAAGCAGGAATTGTTGTCATGTCGAAAACCAGATGCACTTTCCGCTCTGTTGTGCAGTGAACCTGATGCAGAAGAGCAATAGTTGCATTCACTTGCTCAGAAAACCTGAACCAGCAACGCCAATCTACAGCTTAGAAACAACACTAGACAAAGACAACTTGCTTCTTCTTCTCATTAAAGAAACTACCTCTCGTCATCAATTATATTTATCACTAAAATATATCATATAAACAAAAGCCTTACAGAACCCAACCCGACCCAAAACCAAACCCTAACCCACCTAACAAAACAAAATTGGAAAATCATCTGGTTAGTGGCCATTTTCAGACCAAAACCCTTCTACTTCCTCGCAAACCTGCTCGAGATACATCAAACAACTAGCTTAAGTATAGACCATCTACAGCTGTAATAATGGAAGGTTGTGCAAAGAGAATCAAACGCACATACCCCTTTCCATAATTGATTCCCCTTTTCTAGAGTTTTTAGACTAGCTTACAACCAGAAAAAGCAAAGAAACCACTTACGTTTACCATCGGGGAAGAAGAGAGCCGGAGCGCGACAGGGAGAAACTGAACTCGCGCAATGGGGAAATCGATTTAGGGTTTTGACCAGGGCTGTCGGCGCGCGATGGGGAAAGCTGACGCCGGCGCGCCCTGGGGGAAGACGACGACGTTGCACGACGAAGGTGGATTTGAGGGTTTCGCCTTTTACTGCGATGGCGAAAACTGACGGCGCGCGGCGACGAAGAAGAAGAAAAAGAAGAAGAAGAAGAAGAAGAAGAAGAAGAAGAAGAAGAAGAAGAAGAAATGCAAAATGGAAGGAGGATCTAGGACAAGGGGGTAGCGTGGAGGTCTCATCTCTCCCTGGAGTTCGATTGAAAATGGCTGAACCTAGAGGAAGGAGCAGGTTTGCGAGGAAGGAGAAGGGTTTTGGTTTGAAAATGGCCACTAACCAGATGATTTTCCATTTTTTTTTTTTTTGTTAGGTGGGTTAGAGTTTGGTTATGGATCGGGTTGGGTTCATGGTTGGGTTGGTGTATGACATGGCGGGTGAAACTGATGTGGCGGGTCGGGTCTGATGATTTTTGGGTCAAAACGGCGCTGATTAGGCGCATCCGTTAGCCACGTCAGCACTTAACGGACTCCACTAATGGAGTTGGACGGAGACTAACGGAGAGTGACTCAATATGACCTATTTTAGTAATTATAGTGACCAAATTTGATATTAACTTTTTCTAGTGACTAAACATGACACAATTTAGTAGTCATAGTGACCAAATATGGCATTAACCCAAAAAAGAAGTCACTTTTCTAAGCAAAAGCTAAAACAAACACACCCTAAGATTAATCTAGCCAGATAAAGGGCTCCAAGTGGGGTGAGCACTGCCTGAAGATTGTGGAAGTGAGAGAAAGGGAGAGAGAGAAAATTGTAGTTAATATATTTTTGTAATTTCCTAAAATATAATTTATTGAAAAATAAAATTAATAAATATTTTTTCAGGGGCGAAATTTCAACAAGGCTTGTGAAAATAACATCCATCAGATCCATATCAACTTGCCAAAGGACATCCTTCTCATCCCTGTGTAAATGAACAAAAACCATAAGGCATAAGTAGATCCAATATGCAATTGTTAGAGAAATGCATCTGATTTCCGTCTTCTCCCAATTCCTAATTCATAAAGCTGCAAATCGGCATACTCATGAACCATGACTCCTCTCTCACTATCCACTCCCACAACTAAGTTTAAGCAGATGAAGACAACAATTTTAGCAGTTGGCTGTAGCTTCATGAGAATTGCATATTTTAACGACCACACATATATGCATGATTTTAAGAATGCTATATAATCCCCTAGCTACTTGCTTTACTACTTCCAGTCGACAATCAGAGTCTACATGAAGCATGAAATGACCAGTCATTAAATTCGCATAAGAATTCAGATCCTACAGAAGCTATTGAATATATAACATCAGCATGTCAGAATTTCAGCTTCAGAAAAGCAGTGCAAACATAGGAACAAGACTCAGGGGTATATTTAACCTGTTACTTGAAATGTCATCCTTGCGAGCCAAAACATTTATGGCAGTTCAATGATTGAAGTGACCTTTACACCCATTTCAATGGCGTGAACAGAAAAGCTGAAGGATCAAACATGAGAGAAACACATGTATCCACTTCATCTCCGTCCCATGTCTTGTCCAAAAGAATCTGTCAAGTTCCACTTCTCCGTCCCGTCTAAACACAATTAGCATTTAATAATTAATTAAATTAATTTGGACCAATAGATGGTAGCCACATGGGCTTGTAGCAACTACTCTTTACAATCAATCTACCAGGGTGGAAATTGGGCGAGTGTGGTTACCCGCCCCAAATTTTGTAGTTAACCACACCTATATTTTGCGGTTAACCATTATCCATAGCGTATTGGTGCGATTTTGTTGTGGATATGCAATTTTTTTATTATTGAATATGGTAATATGGTAATTAATATTGATGTTATGTTTCTTCTCACACAAAAACATACAAAAAAGAAAGTTATTAAAGTGTTAAATAAACTGTAAATCAATTATCCCCTAATGAATCGATTAATTTATCCGATTTTTTATTGACTTGTTTTTGTTTTATAAAATAAAAATATTTCACATGGACACATCTTATTTGATAAAAGTATCACACACACAGATGTTGTGTATTGACTTGGTTTTGTTTTATAAAATAAGTGTGTGCAGTGTGTTTGATTTGGGGGTTACTTTAAGTTTTAGCCTTCCACTTTTCACATACCATGATATTATAAAGCATTATTAAAAAATAAATCTTCTATAAAAGATATAAAGCCAAAACATGCATCAACTTTCCAGGGATTTGAATTTGGAGCCCTTAGAGGGTTTCACGGAGGGGTAATCATGTAAATTTCACCCACTTAATTGAAACTGTGCGTTTCACAATACTTCCTTCCACTGGCACGTAATGGCCGAATGGGCCAATCTTGGCCGGCCTGGGCCCAATTTCCCCTGTTCAAGCTATCAATTGAAACGGTGCGTTTCACAACATGTCCTTCCACTAGCACTTATATAATGGCATAATGGGCCAATCTTAGCCGGCTAGCTATGGGCCCAATCTCCCCATGTTGAAGCAAATGCAATTGGCGCCAACGGCCAACGCCAGCAGATACTAGGCGTTTCGTCCATCGGCCTAACAGTGACTGGCACAGCAAACGGCGACGGGCGACTACATGTGCCCTGCAAACGACGAGAACCCATCTCCGTGTAGTGAATAGTTTCTGCAGCTTTTCAATCGTTGAGTTTTTACTTTCTCCCTTCTTCTACTTTTCGTGCTTTGTGCAGAATGCGGAAGATGTCGACGATTTGTTCAACAAGTACGTACGGGAAAGTGGTTTTCACAATCAATGACAAAAATAAAAAATTTAATTACGTCAGAGACAAAATTAAGAAAAACTGAATAGACATGCAAATAGTTATTCTACTCCAAACCTCAATCAAGAGAACGAGGACTTCTGTTTTGCGGCCAATCTCAACCTAATTATATACGGGCCAGGATCGAGAGATAAGAGATTATGCATGCAATGAAAGTCAAAGAATTAGAAGACTAAAATCCAGCAGTAACAGACGCCAACTGTACGGTCTTTTGTCTATTTCCGGCCTCCTCTGCCTCGCTCCAAATCCAAGCTCTCCTCATTCTCATTCTTCTGCTCTCTTCGACTCCTCCAAACTAGAGGCTATAGAAATGAACTACGATTATACAGAGCGGAGAGCAGCACTGCAGCAGCATAGTGCAGACGCCAGAGGGACCAGTACTTCTCGGGCTCCTCTGCATGAGCGCGAGCTCTGGCCTCCCAATACCTCCCTCAGCTGAGCAATTCAAAGGAATACAGTCGATCTAATGGTGATGGCACAGGGAGTAGAAGAAAGAAATTAAAGACGAATGAAAACATTGAATTGATTTTTGATACAGGAAACAAAATAAAGAGATAGGGAAGGAGCCTGCAGCCAAGGAGGTAGAATGGGATGGATATGAAAGTATGGTGGAGAATGGAGATTGGAATTTGTTCTTCTGGCTTTTTTATTAGATAAGATTACTTTATTAGCTTTTGTATGGGGACGGTTGACAGTAGGTGGTACCGTGGAGAATTATTTTATTACTAGGAAAATTTGTATAATAAGGGACACTTAGGGGTTTTTGGGTTCACGATTTACTCTAACCGAACTTATAAGAAATTGTTAATTGATAAATGTTATTGGTTTGGTTATCGGTAAGGGTAGTCCTATTAGTTAACTGTTAACTGTCATATTGATTAGTGATAAACTGCAATCGAACCAATTAGCACCCCTACTTTGGTGTACTAGACTCGCTTTTCCATAATCATCACAACATTTTCCTGGCCACAGATTGATATAATTGCGTTTGGGAAATAGGGGCAAAGCTGGAAAGCAAAGTGGTCGGTGGGATTTACCAAGGAGAAGGAGGAGAAACGTTTGAGATAGGGTTGGTTCTTCAGGTAAAAATATATCTCTCAATATTGATGTGTCAAATTTTAAAATTTTGGCTTTCCATTCTTTTCATTCAATAGGGGTTTGATAAGGTTGTCAACCGTCGTTGATTCAGATTTAGTGGGTAAAATGGGCGCCACACTCTCGGGTTGGGTTTTAAATTCTGTAACAAGACACCCGGGCTAGAGGTGACACGATGTTATTTTTCTCTTTGGTTTGCGAATTGTGCCTCTTTTTTTGTTTTTTTCCTTTCGCCTAACCCTACTTTCAGAATCCTAACTTGAACACTTGAATATTTATGTTATATGAGTGTGTTTGAATTTCTATTATATTTTGGATCCAAGTACGTATTGTTATGTTGGTGTAGTATTATATAATATTATCCATATGTATATAAGATTTTGTATAATTTATAAATGTATGAACAATATAATACATTTTTCATATATTCGAACAAAAGCGAACTAAAATGATCGGACCATTACCCCTCAACTCGCTTACTCGACCGGGCTAACATGCTAAATTGGGTTGACAACCTTTGATACTTCGAAATTTGGATATTTTTTTAAAAAATTGGGTTTTAATTTTGATGATTAAGTCAAATCGATCAATAATTGAGGACTTTCAGAGAGTTTGGTTGAAATTCAAATGTCGAACTTCTTTCGTTACAAACAAAAGTTTTTGCATTTAATTGTTGTTGGTCGGAGGAAGAGAAAGCAAAAGGGATGAAGAATGAAATTGTAGCTATTAATTATTGTGAGTTACAGACGGAGAAGATAAGCCATAAAAAAGGGGTTAAATTTAATTTTTTATGACCATGTTTCGAACATATTTAACTTAATTTCATCAGAAATTGTAACAAAGGGTATGTTTGATAATACGTATATACTATATAGTACAAGCGCATGTTTGATGTGAAAAATAGTAGAGGGATAAATTTGAGAAAAATGAATAAGAGAGTAACAATCTATGCTATCAACTCCACATGAAAACTCAAAGATCGTATTAGTAAAGTAAAATTTAGGTTTTTATAATGTTTGGATGTTCTTAACTATTGTGTGTACATTAGTATCTAACACTTAACAACCCCCACTTATTATTCAAACAAGCGTATACGCTAAATTATAATAATTTATACGATAAATAGTATTTTTCATGTTCTTTCATATTCGAGATTTCTAGACATAACCTTTCCATTATTCTCTTGATTTTTTTATATATCTTCAAACTCTGAATTCATATTCGACTATAATGAGTGCAAAAATTTCTTATAAGATATGAAAAAAAATACAACACTAAACTAGGACGACTTGATAAAAAAATAACATGTTAACTAATTACCGCTAAT